TGTAAGTCACAGACACATATTTCAGATGAATTTAATTATACAATTTGTTATTTGATATTGAAACTATTTTCTTTTCTTGCTAGATCTCGATGTCTTAGTTCCAGTAAGAATACTTTGAATGACTCACTGTTTAAAAATGGAAATTCTTGTGCATCTCAGATTATTGGCTCTGATACTTCATCATCTGGATCTGCCAGCATTTTAACTCCCCAGGAACAGCTATCCCACAGCGTATATTCCCTATCATCTTATACCCCAGATGTTGTTGCGTTTGGATCCAAAGATTCTAATACTCATCAGCCCCACCATCACCACTCTCTTCCACATCAGACAGATAACTTATCAGCTTCAAATACACAATCTGAAGGTAATAATGGTTTGTATAACTATATTTTTTATTGTAATAGCCAGTTATTCATTGGTTCTATTACAGGTAACATTATAATTTACATATAAATTAACATATACAGGTTGAACATCCCAAATCCAAGAATCCCAAATCCAGAATGCTCCAAAATCTGAAACTTTTTGAATGCCAATATGCTGCTCCATAGAAATGTTTTTGGATTTTCAGATTTGGGATGCTCACCTGACATAATGTAAATATTCCAAAATCTAAAAAAATTTGAAATTTGAAACACTTCTGGTCTCAACCACTTCAAAGAAGGGATACTCAACTGTAAGATACTTTAAAAACATACAATTCATGGCTGGGCACCCATGCTCAGTGGTTAGGGCCCTGGCCACATGGGCCTGGGCTGGTGGGTTCGAACCTGGCCACATGGCCCGGGCTTGCTAAACAAACAAACAACAACAACAAAAATAGCCAGGCATTGTGGCGGGTGCCTGTAGTCCCAGCTGCTAGGGAGACTGAGGCAAGAGAATCACTTGAGCCCAAGAGTTTGAGGTTACTGTGAGCTCTGAGGCTACGGCACTCTACCGAGGGTGACAAAGTGAGACTTTGTCTTTCAAGGCAATGCATGAATGTTACAAAGTATGTGGTTTTCCCTAAATTTAGTATTGGGACTTATAGGAAAAATGTACATAAATGTTGGAGATGAAAACCATCTCTAGAAAATGCCTGAACTTAGAATAGGAAACTGTTGACCTGTTGACAAGATATCTCACATTAATTGATCTTAACTGTTCTGGTTATTTTTGGGTGAATTTTCTAACAGGTCTCAGGAATCAAGGGGGGATTTGTTGGAATCCTAATTTAGAGGTCTCAGATGTTTTATTTCTGGAACTCTTTTTAGCTTCCTGCACTATTTCTTATGTATATTTTCCAAAATATACTGTCTGGTATTTACTTTTCTTCTGTACACTTGATAATTTTCTAAAATATCTTTAATGTAATGTAATTCTTAATTTTCTTCAGGGCTTTGGCAGAGCTTCTGGTATGCTCTAAATGCTACTAAATGCTACTGTCCTGTCTAAATGCTACTTTGAGAAATATATACCTTATTTAAATTTTTTTTCCTCTTATAGAC